TGCAGGGTTGGTGCAAGAATCTCAAATGTCAATTTAAGCACTCTTGGTCAAACTACTTTTCCCCTGTGTTCTCTGTTGTGTTTTCTTTTGTATTCATTTACTTTGACATATTTGATTTGCCTCTTAAGTGGATTCTTGTTAGACTATATAAGTGCTTTGTCAGTAGCTATGTTTACACTATTATGTTTGTCGAGCAGGAAGCTGTACATCAATCTTAATTATCAAACAGTTTAGAGCAGATTTATATTCTGTGAGGCTTGTTACTGTTTCCTTATACGACAATGTTATGAAGGTTAATTTAATTTTCTTGTCCAATTTGCCTTTTCAAATTGGACAATGGGGGAGGGGGACGCAGTTGTGGTAATGTGTAAAAACACCTAATTATTTTACTTTTTACTAACAGCTTATTAAATGACAATGTGAAAACAAAGTGAGAGGGAGAATTATCACTTGCTCCTCTCAGCTCTACGAGTTTCAGCTCGTTGTTTAGCTGTCCAACCCACATCTTTACCGTTTTAGTTCACTCATCGTTTTGATTTACCATTTTAAGCGCCGTTTACAACAATGCAGGTTTGTAAGAAAAAAGAAGACAGAATAAAAAAGGAGCACAATAAAAACGAGTTAGACACCGATGAGCATCAATTAATCAACACTCAGCCAGCTCATGTGTTTGTAGTGTCACAAACTGGGCCTTACTGCCATGACATAAGGAGGGAGACTCACACAACAAAGCCACTTAAGAAAGTATTTATTAAATTAATTATTGATTTCTTGAATAATTTATTAAACTAAAAGTAAAAAACTAAACTAACAGTAGTATATGAAATTAGTGAGATCAGTGGTGTAGGTGAGTGCATGAGTGGAGAAGAGTATGAGTGCTATGTTGTAGTAGGATACAGCTCCACCAGTACCTGCACAGAAAGCAACCACATAAATAGGAACAGGAAGACAGGGCCGAGAGGGTCGTCACAGTAGAGTTGTCTGGATGGGAGGAAGGTTGTGTGTCAGCTTTGTGTTTGTATTCTTTAAGTGTACAGTTTGTATATTTCTCCGCAAAGCACTGAGGCCTTGGGGAGCTCTTTCTTTCTTTCTTTCTTTCTTTCTTTCTTTCTTTCTTTCTTTCTTTCTTTCTTTCTATCTTTTCACATTCTAGGGTTGATTTGGTCACCTTGGCAACAAATGGCTGCCATCAAGTGACTAAGTTCCTGCAGACATGCTCCCCCCCCTCCTCTTATCTCTTTCTCTGGACAGTAATGCCCTTGAACTGGCAAAATATAGCTGTCAGAATTAGCTTCATTATACAGATAATTAGATAATGGTTATTTCTACGAGAGAACATAGTTTATATAGCATCAGAGGATTAATTCCCCCTTTTTGGTTTTACCAGTATTACTCTAGAACTTCTAATAACTGTGTCCTCAATGTTGACAAAAAGAGGGACAGCCAGCATTGGTTTGTGTAATTATCATACGAACAGAAAGTAGGAGAGGGAAAAGAAAAACATGGAGCTGAAGCTGGAAGATGCAGAAACTAGGGTCTGTCTGTTTAGAAATACTACTTCAGTTATATCAAAACAAGCTCATTACACTTTATAACAAATCCTATGACAGCAGCTACGTGGAAAATCTCAAAATGCAAGACAGCCAACCGTCTCTCCGACAGATCATTCAACAGCCAGACTGTTGATTGTTCTGCCAATCATTTGGGCATCGCGACTCCCCTCAAACTGCTTGACAGCAACTGGTCTGGCAGAAGTTTGTCCTCATCGTTTGCCCCCATCCTAAAAATAGTCGGGAGTGGCCAAAAATTCCGCTTAAACTTCTCCTCGGGTTAATAGCAGACACAAACATGCTAAGGATAAGGCTGGTAATATTCTATATTTTTCTTAATGTCAAAAATTTCATGAAGAAAACGTATTGATCCTACTGGCAAATATTGTCTGTCAAGCAAATGCCTGATTTAGTTCATTCTCCATTCCTGTCAGGAGGACTGTCTAGTTATGGCCCAAGCACTGACCAGTGCAAGGACCTATTGTAATTGTAGGAATTATTATTATTTTTCTGCGCCTTCAATCGCATTATTGAACACTTTCCCGTGCTTGACAGCTCACAAAAACACGTTAATCACAATGGCACAACAACTAAAGTACAAAACACTGACATATAATGAAATGATTATACTGTATTACTGACACACTTATTATTATAAAGATAAAATTCTGACTAAATGTTACATTTAAATAAATATTAATATTATATAATAATTAATGACTTTTTGCTTCTCACTATACATTATTAATGAAATTAAAAATAAAAACACAAATGACTGAAATAGGTTTTTTATTAATCACATTATTTTAATTGTTATTGGTTTTGACTGGTCTGGCTCTCAGTCCCCTTTTCCAGCCCCTGATCATCTCCCAGAGGCCATGTACTGTGCTCTCCTCTGACTCTCCAGGCCTGCCATCCTCGAGCTATTCACTAGATACCCACAGACTCTCTGGCCAGTCCTGGTCACCTGACAACCCCATCTAATCCACACATCTGTTCCCCCTTTCCTCATCAGCCCTGCAAATATATAAGACAGATCATTCAATCAGAATGAGTGAATGGGCTTGAGTCATACAGGGTACAGAAGTCAGAAAGCAGAGAGATGGACTAACATGTTTTTTTTCGTGGGCTTAATTCGAAAAATATAGCATAATACCAGCTTTATCCTTTAATGTACATCATCAACCACAAGCTGAACTTGTGGTTAGTGCCATAAAGAAGGCATAAACAGTGTTTTCCGGACTCAGCAGAATGTGACTGTCCCCATCTGGATCCTGGCCAGAGACCAAAACGTGTGGATCAACAATGCCACTGATGTTCTAATCAGTTTGGGAGAGCACGCTAACAATTGTCCTTTGGTCCTCTGATATGGCCTTTGGTTGGCTGTAATGAGAATTCCCACCAGACTACATAATTTAAACACTGCACATAGTGTAGTCCTTTGACTGATGTAATTTACCTGCTCTGTAATCTTCCTCATGTTAGCTTTGTGTGTGGCTCTAATCTCACTGCTGCAGCTGTCCAACTGTAGCAGAGTAGCTCTTTTTCACTCACCACAGCTGATTGAGCTAAACGCACATTTTGGAGCCACTATGTCTGCCACATAGTGACTCCAAAACATGGACACCCACCCTGTCACTTCAAATACGTAAACAAGATGTTATGATCTCCATAGAGCAGAGAGAGAGAGAACTTCTTCTCTGCCAATAGTTGTTATTGAGAATATTAAGGAAATCATTCCGTTGCTGCATCATATTTTCTTATCTCTCTCATGTTTTTGTAAAAAAAAAATGCACATAAATTATAAGAAACAGAAAAACAATACCACACTAAATAAAATATATATAGAAAGGCAAAAAACAGTACAGAGATGCTGGGAACATACTGGAATACAGACATCTTGTTTTCCTAAACCCAAAAAATCCCTTAACATTAATTCATCTCCTTTGTATGACAGTGGTAGGGAAGTTATTTAGTTACTTGCACCCTTAAACTGTTTATAAATGAAATATTCAGGTTCTGGGCTACTATAGTAACATGGCGGTTGAACATTCAGTTTCATGGAAGGCAACCCGCTGGGTGTGTAGATACAATGGCTCATTCTAAGGCAACATAACTTATTTTATTTGTATTATTATTTCATTATTCTTATTTACAGGTGATTATACACTAATGAAAACCTAGTTATGAATATGAAATTCTATTTCTGCCAATAGAGCCTCCTAAATAACACAGGGATTTTTAAAAAAGACTGTTTGCGTTTTGCTGCAAGGCAAAATATCCTGTTTGTTTCCCCTTTTTATAACATTTTATTCAGTTATTCTACATTATAAAAGTTTGTCCCCCCACTTTTTCTCTGATACCTTTACTTAGGTAGAATTTTAAATGCACAACATTTTATATGGATTTTTTCATCATGGTATTCAGTAAGGGAACTCTCCAGCTTGCTTTCCATCCTTTCTTGCTGTCAGACTTCAATTTTCTCCACCTGTTTACTCTGCCATGCATTGATCTGCTTTTACACCTGACTTTTGAGAAATGTCAGTGCCCCAAATTAGCTGTCACCATCTTTACAACATGTTTTCTCAAGTCAGTCACATCACAACATCCATTATTTTCTTACAGCAACCATGCATTAGCATGACAGTCCGGGGCAGTTAAATAACCTCTGATATTTTGACATTTCATTCAGTTAGTTACTGCATGATTAGGTGAGCCTAATCTTTATTATTCTGCCAACCTGATCTGCAATGTGATAAACTCAGATTGTACTCTATGTCTCTAGAGAGAGAGAGAGACATAGTGAAGAGAAGAAATTCAGAATGATACTAATATGGGACATGCATTATTTATGAATTCAAGCTCAAAACATTTTTCAAGGCAACCCTATCCGTAAAGTATGCCCATGGGGCACTGGCATCATCAACTCATCTCAAAGGAAAGAGGCTTTTCTGGTCTGCTGGTGATTTACATTCAGTTAGCAAGGCTGGTATCATAAGTACCATTTTGTTGCTAAATATATAGCCACTTAAAACATTCACATGGTGGAAGAGAAAGACATCTAATTTCTTATTTGTCTTCTCTGAGAAATAAAAGCCTCTACATGAGGAAACAAGTCACTATGCCTTGTGTGAGGCTGTACTTAACTGTGCTAAAGAGTAGGGAAAAGTGTCACACACTCTGGCTTCATATGCATTTCTTCTTTATTCTGATGCTGTTTCTCCCTCAGGCCTTTTTAAAGATCAACATTTGTAATAATAACAGTGCTAACATGCTGATGTTAAGCAATGTTTATTACCATCCTAATTTAGTGTGTTGGCATGATAATAGTGTCATAAATCTATCGGACTATTGGATCTGTCGAGAGTTGAACATGTGGTACGGGTAATCTTTTGTTTTGTTTATGTACCCTAAATCCTAAAATTAAAAAATTATGTTGACACACATCAGTACAGCAACATAGCAACATACGTTTTATTTCCCTTCAAACAACAGGTTATACTTGTTAATCCTGTCACTCTGCTTTTCTCAGTTTCAAAACATGATCCGTCAGACAAATGATATGCAATTATGTAACATCATCCACAGTATAATAGAACACTATCACAGCTACAGTATATTATATTGAGCCAAACTTCCATAAAGCAGTCCACTTCAGTTCAGTTTGTTACATATTAGAAAACTTGTTTTTGTGTTTCTGTTGGAAAAAGTCATAACTATGTTTTCATTAGTGTATTATCACCGGAATATGGGAATGATTATGTTAGTTTTTCTTACCTTAATATGAGCCTTTAATCTCTACAGATACCACGGGACAAACCAAACACTGGCCACAGGCTCTAGATCATGGCTACTGTAGTTTCTCCATCATGCTTAGACGAGGGGTTAAGCGAAGGAGTTGCAATCTACAACTACACCGCTAGATGCCACTAATTCCTACACACTTGTCCTTTAAGAGCAAAACAGATCTAGGGTTTAGGTACATGTGGTCATGGGTTAGGTATGGGTTTCAAGGGGACTGAAATGTTTGGTTGAAGTTCAGCTTTTACTGAAGTGTTAATAAAATCTAAAGAAATCCTTTTATTAAACTGGCTTGTGTTTCTAATAACCATCTAATCAAATATGCTAAAGAAAACCTGGGATATCATATATCATGGGACCAATAAACAAAGGAACCAATTAATTCTCATAATAAGGTAACCATGATACAGTTATCACCACGATGAAACAGGAATTCTATACACTGTCTGTGGGCTGAGGTGAATGATCTTGAGGCTCATTTTGAACTCCTGCATGGACTTCAAGGACCTCTGCATCTCCAATCCTCTCTGCAAAAGAACACTCAATTCAGCCGGCCATTTTACAGTATTCACAAGTTCCATCCTTTCTATTCAGAATAAATTGAAAATGAAAACATGTTACATAACATTGCCACCAGTATTCACTCTGAATGTTATGGTTCAATTTTGTTGTGAAAAAAACTCTTCTTAGCCACTTGGTTTATACAGACAATTTGAAGAAAGCCTTTCATACGGTGACTACTTCTTCACCACGGGGGTTGGTCTATATATTGAGAAAAACATCCATACATTCAGAGACTGTACTGAATTGCAAAATGCACATAAAAATACACAAAACACAAGTTTTCCTTACAAATCAGAATGTATGTGCCAATAAAATACCCAAGAGCTAATAGAGCATATGAGTCTACAGTGTTGCTGAAAAAGAGGAGGTTTTCAAAGACACGCAGCCACAAAGCAGTAAACCAAGACAAAATAACTGGAGGAAAAAGAACACATTTCAAAAAAAGAACATTTCAAAAGAGGAGGTGAGAGATGGATTTTAATGGCTTCCAGGACCCCCTCTTGTGCCATCAACAAGATTGCTGCCAAATGAATGAGTTTTAATTGATGTATACTGTATATTAGAAGGGAAAGAGCTGTCATTTAATCTAAGGACACCATCAGACCATACATCTGATGGTGTTTTAGATTAATAATACTCCAGCAGGTGAGAGAAAAGGAAGCAAAGGTGTCCTGGTGCAAAAATAGACAACAAACTGAAATGCATTAAGAATGAGAAAAGCAATACTATATATAATACATATATGTAGTTACCTGGTTTGTCCACGCTGAAAGCTCGGTTCATTCTGTATGAGCTATGGAAGTAAATTAAATAGTATTAAACACATTGAGCTTGAAAAGTTTTGAACCAAAGGACCAGATAAAATCATACCGACCTCATTCTTTGTGGTGTTCTCCGTGACTGGTCAAATGATGGACCATATACCGGTGGAGATGCACCAGGATGAAAACCCTGGACCTGCTGGAAGTTCTGCTGATGATGACCTGAGAGGTCGACACCGTCTAGAGCTTGTTTGATCATCCCCATCACCAGGTCTTTCTCTGAGAGTAAACCACATTAATACCAGGAGAAGGGTTCAGTGATTATGCCACCGGACCAATTATACACTCTCTTACTGGTTCATTTAAATGACAGTATTTACCAACACAATTAAAAAGCACTGCTTAAAGTAATTAAACTTATCAAAGTGGCAAAAGTAAAATTAAAAATCCCTTTAAAACGTATTTAGCAAAGCAATCCAAGAGCTCATTAATTCCTTCATCATTCAATCATCATCAGTTTAATGTAATTGTTTGGAAGGTATCACTTAATTAACTGAATGTAATTAACCGATGAAAAAAAGGCTACGCAGAATAATATGTGTGTATATTTCTGATGTATTCTGTTTATTTACAATAAAAAAACAGTTTAAAGAAGAAAAAGGATGTCTTAAGAATGTCTTTCAGGCAAGGAGGGTATAATGAAAGTATTGTAGTGCATTGTAGGAAATGACAAAAAGTCAAAATATGACATTCACAGAGAAACTGATGTAAGACATGCAACACATTTGTGCAAATAGTGCTTATGTCAAATTAATTGTGACAGTTGAAGTGACTGGGAGCCTCTGTATCGTCACATGAAGCTACCAGTTTTCTGTCAACCTTCTGAATAACCCTTGAATTAATGTAATTATAACACTACGAACTGCAACAACACTGTGACAAATTGACATGTAGTACCTGAAATGTTGTTCAGCATCTAGAAAAGCACTGTGCAAATAAAAAAATCTGCTGCCACTGTGCACAAACTAAGCTCATTATTTATGTGGAAGGAAGAATGGTTTTACCTCTTTGGCCTGAAAGCAGAAGCCACTGCTGGACCGTGGACAGGGAGTCTGTCTGCAGGATCTGACAAAGTAGCTCCAAAACCTGACAAGCAAGCAGCAGGAACATAACAACATTAAATCGGAAGCCACATACATATATATATATATATTTTTTTTTTTTTTTTTTTTTTTTTAAATTTTTTTTTTTAAAAAATTTGGTGGGTTGGGGGGGGGGTTTTTTTTAAAAAAAAAAAAAAAATGGAATTAACTTTTTTTAAAAATTTTTTTCCCTTAAAAATTTTCTTTTTTTTTAAAATTTTTTTTTTTTTTTTTTTAATTTTTTTTTTTAAAAAAAAAAATATTTTTTTTTAAATTTTTTTTTTATTAAGGAGGTCTTTTTTATTTAAAAAAATTAACAACACAACTACACAATAAACAAGGAATTAATATTACATGGCAATGCCTCATATCATACAAATTACACTTTTTCTAATTGTGGAAAAGCTAAACAGAAGTGGAAGAGTATTTCACCATGAGCTCTTGGTCATGGAAGGGCTGAGGATACATCAGGCCCTGGGAATGGGATCTGCGTTGGTAAGACTTGGAGGATGGAGGGATGATTCTCCCGGTTTCAGCTGAATACTGGGTCTTTCTGCAAGCAAATTCTTCCTCAGGCTGCTCCTAGAATACGTTGACAAAACCGTGCAGTTCAAACACTTAAATTTAAAGTAAGAGAGTACGTTTTTTTTTTTTTTTTGGAAATTAGGAACAAGAAGGATTTAACACAACTAAGAATCCATGTAGGTCTGTGAGACTCTTATTGTACAGTGGTGCTTTGAGTTCCATGCTAAAGTCAGTATGCTAAAATGCTAACAATGACACGTGGTCTCTATCATAGTTTAGCGTGTTAGCATGCTAACATTTGCTATTTAGCACTGAACACAAAAATCAACCTTTCTCAACATAACAAATTATTTCCATACCCAGCAGCATAAATTCAACTTCTGCCTTGAGGCATACATTAGTTTGTTATTCTTGGTTAGGTTAGGTCATGTCTTAGAAACTTTTTTGAAGAGACGTCTGACAGCTCATGGGTAATTTTAGGTTGTGCCTCCCAGACAGACCTTAACCAAGACCACGGCCAAAATCTAAAACATTCAGTTGGTTGAGCTTGTGGTAGGTCTGGGAAGAAGTGCTACCTCTGAGACCGAGCACTGACTCACATTGCCTTTCTATGTCACACCCACAGTAAAGGGTAATTATCCCAAAGGTTGCCAAATATTGTTGGAAATTCAGTATTGGAGAATCTGTGCTGCGCATAATATGCAAAATATCCTATTTATTATAATGTTTGTGAGAACTTCAGTAGCCAAGGGTGGTGTGTACAGTGCCATTAATTATTATATTATTATTAGAGAGATTTCAGATTACAGTAATTACAGCAATACTGGTACCCTACCTCTTTTTTGTCCTTTTGGGCTTTAGAAGACACACTGACTTTTGCAGCAAGTTCTTTTAGTTCATCCCTCCAGGCTTCTGAGAATAGCGCTGTGAAATAAAAAGGAAAAATGACTCCTGTTATTCTAAAGTTCAATGGGACTCATTTAAGGTAGATCAGCAACAATTTAGCCGCTGTGAGTGTAAACACACCTGATTTGCTTTTGTTACTACTGACTCCATAATGATTCTGGGCAAGCGGAAAGGCAAAAGATGGACCAGCTGCTTTCCTGAGGACGTGGCTCTTGAGAAGTGGATGAGGGAATAATGATGAGGTGACATACCAATCGTCTCTCACCGTGCAAACAGGTCTACCATTGAGTCCTGTGGGAAAAAGAAAGGCACAATATTCACAGTTACCACACACACGCACATACACACAAGGTAGTTCTTCAGAAGTGTTGGACAATCAAAGCCATGCCCTGAAGAAATACGTTCACCAGAACGGTGGCAACTTCAAGAGAACCTCAGGGATGAAACCTACTTCACTGACAATAATGCAGTTGTCCCTTTCATGTATCCTATTACTATTCTAGGTGCCTGTAGCTACTCATGAAATATTTCATATGCAGTATCAGTAACTTTGCAAGACAACATATAGGGAGGATGGTTTCCACAGCGAGGTCAGAATAAGGACCTTGTTAAGGGCTGCTAGTAAGCAAAGCTGCAAAGACATTTTAAGCTAAATGAATGCATTACATGTAATAAGCGAGTGCAACAGACTTTTGTTGTTCAGTGTAAGATGTATATAAATGTGGTGGTGAAAGTGAGAGATTTCTTTTGCAGTTTTCTAATTGCAGTCCTTTCACAATGGCAAAGGAACAATTCTACTTAAGGGGAAGCAGAAAAAGCTGTTAACACATTATCACCATAACATATCAACATACACCTTTTAAGGTGATAACTTATTAGATGCTGAATGCTCCACTTTGTTCACCAGCTGGTCTCTCACTTTGTCTGTCTGCTGTTTGGTCAGAGTTTTTAGCCGTGGGGTGGCTGTAGGCGATGCCAGTAGGCGATGCCAGTCTGTTGGACGGTTCATCTGTCTGTTAGTTGGTCCTAATGATGGATTAGCATTCATGGTCCCCAGATTAAAAATTCTAATGATTTCTGATCCCTGACTTTTCCTCTGGTGCTATAAGTTTTTTAATGTTTTTTTTTTTTTGTGAAACTTCTCATTAAAATAATTAAATTGACTGGCATTCAATTTGGTACAGATATCCTTGGTAATCAGGAGATAAAATCCTGAGTTTTTCCTCTATAGCACCCCCAGTGAATTATCTCACATCTACTTAATGGATTGGTACACATTCATCAACTTTTCCACTAGTGTCACCAGCAGGTTGACATTTTTGTTTATTAAAATACCCTGACAACTTTAAGATGGATTAGTGGAAATTTGTTCCACAGAAGATGAATTGTAATTCCTCTGATGCCCTGATTTTTCATCTAGCAACACCACCAGGTCAAATTTCACATCCACATCAGCTGTTGTTGTGCTATTTAGCAAACAATAGCAAACTAGTGGCTTTTTCTGGCATGCCCCCTTCAAAAGCCAAATGATAAAGGAACCAAAACTAATTTTTAAAAAAGCATCCAAGTAGATTTTTTCCCCAACATAAATCATATTCATTCAACTTTGTTCAACATTATATTTTTCCATATTTTTTGATAAACATGGTAAACATTATACCTGCTAAGCTTCAGCATGTTAGTATTGTGAGCATTTAGCTCAAAGCACTGCTGTACCATTGTGAAACAGCTCCAATAAAATGTCATCTATTTTGCACATAATTATTTGAAACCAATTTCGAGAAACCTAAATGGGAACCAGAACGATCTGCTGATTTTATTTCTTCAGGTTGCCTTGTTTACTGGAGTTAAATACCCAGGGAAATCATAAATGAAGGTTAAAGCTGACGTCTGTACTGCAAACATGAATGAAAAAACACTTGATTGAACACACTTTACTGTAATTTAGGGAAGCATATGGATTGATTCAACTTTCTAATCAACTTGCTCACCTTGAATATGTCTCACCCTATGTGGATGAGGGTTGTGTCGGGAGAAAAATGAATGATGACTCAAGGTACCAAAGCGTGCACTGCTTGTCGGCAGCATCTTGGTAAATTCAGTGGTGAACGGCACCTGATTAGTTTGACCTCGGCTCCTCTCTCCTGTCGTCCCCCGGGAGTCTGGGCTCTGTGCTATTGACATATCTTAGAATGACAAGTCTCTTTCTGAAGTGACATGATAGAAGGAGTGAAACATTAATATTCAAGGAAAAGTTGTAACCACACATGTTAAAAAACTCTAACTCTAACTAAAAACAAGAAAAAGACTACTTAAACCCTATTCACTCCAAAATTTCAAATATACCTTTGCATCTTTGCATTTAAATTTTGACCAATGAATGTATGTTTTGTGTTTTACCTGGAAGAAATCTTTTAGGAAAATAATGTATTCAGATTTAGAAAAAACAAACACTGAAGAACAACTTTACCTCTGAAAGCAGCCTCCAGCTCAGAACCTCTGGTACTTCATGCTCTGTGTTGCCTTTGTTGCTAAGAAACCTGAACTAAACAAGAAACAATGGCATCTGTGCACAATGAGTGACTGGCATTCTCAGCCAGTTCATTAAGACAGCATTTTCATGAGCAAAGCATAATAGAATTGAAAAAGACTACAGTAGTCATTATGGGAAATACAATTTAGCTATATGGATTAAAATATGTATAATCAATGCAATAATCAAACTCACACATTAAAGATTTTTATTTTTATTTTTTACAAATCAGAAACAATGTCAGGGACTGAGAGGGCGTTATGCTTCAATGCATCTGCTGGGGTGAAAACAATGGAGTGTAACAGTGCCAGGCAATTAACTTGAAAGTCAGTGCTGTCAAAAGAAGGTAATTAGGGTAATGTGGGCCTTTTAGATGAACATAGACACACCTGAGTTAGATTATTTGCTCCATGGACCAGCTCTGTACTTGAAATAAGCTTTTGAAACTTACAATTTAACTCTATTGGACTCAAATGTTTAATTGAAGAAGAATTAAACAGTGTGAGGACCCAAAGACATCTGGCCCAGCTGAAGGTCTTCTCCCACAGTCATCTCTTCTCAAAATTCAATTCAATGTATTTGTGAGTGAGGCAGCTTACACCCCAACACAATATGTTTTAGTTTACCTGTTTCCGCAGCACCTGGTGTGGCATATGTGTGTGAAAATTGCTGCAAATGTTGTTTAATCATCTAAGGATCCTGCTACCTCTGGCTTGTGTCATTCACAGTTCTTGGTTAAAACTCAGTAGATATTTGGCCGTTTAGACAGATGATTCTTTTCTTTTTTGTGGGAACAACAAGATAAAAATAACTATCTATGCAATATACATATATATAAGTATTTACAATTATAAAAATATATATATTTAAAAAAAAAAAACAATTATTGGTTTAATGGGAAGCGTGACTTTCTGGAAGTCAGGCAGTTTAAAAAATGTTTTATATGTTTATTTGATTCACCTTGGATTCACATCTTCCCATAATGTAAAACCACAAGAAGATTGCATCTCAATTAGAGCCCTGTTCACCTTCTTTTTATGATATTCTTTCAAAAATCCAGACTGAAAACCATTGTTATTTGTCTTGTCTCTATCATATGGAAACTGCTAGCTGCTGTTGGGATGGCAGTGCCTTACTCCAGACTGAAATCTAAACAACAATTTTACTGATTACCATGAACTTTTGAACAGATATCCAAGGTCCCCGGACAATGTTTTCTGATGATTCTGGTATTATACTACTTCTTTAAGGTTGACATTTGGGGTTTTAAGTGAAATGTCTCAACAACATAAATAAATTTGATACAAACATTCAACCCCAACCCCATAAATTGGTAAATCAGGTAAAAATAATTTGATTTATAACTAAATGCTTGCTAAACATGAAAACAATCAGCATGTTATTATTGTATTAATTGTAGTGTTTATTGCTAATGAGCTGGCTGACACGCCACACTAAGATGGTGGAAATGATAAACATTACACTATAAGTTTAACATCAGCATGTTGGCATTGCCATTGTGAGCATTGAGAGCTGTCTGATATTTTGTCATTCTAAGAAATTTATGTTTTGGCGTTTTTATGGGTTGTATTTTGTTGTGTGTGTTGCAAAGTGTGTCATTCCTTGTTGACCACTGTAAGTCGTGACCATACACCTGCGGCTCCTTGAAGAGTGTGTCTATTTACTTGGTCATTATTAGTCCCAACCACAAGCCTGAGTGGACTCATCAGTTTGTTATTGTAGCGAGTGAATAGTTCTGATATTCCTGCAGTGATGTTGGGAACACACGTCCTTTTGGCAGACTATTTGGCTGTGTCAGAAAACATGAATTAAAAAAGTGGGTCTCCACAATGCTTTCTGCAATCATGATAGATGAAAGGAGGTAGATGAGTCCTCATTGTACCTTTGTGCTGTGTTCTCAGCTTGATGTGTTTTTGCTTGGTCTGCTGAATTACCTCCAACAACTACAAATTTTGTGATATATGATCTCTCTGTGAGGTGGTGAATCAGTGACCTTAAACTCAGCTCAAACAGTTTGCACCTGGTATTAACATGCATCTTGTGTGATCAGATCACTTAAACCATTTTCTTAGGTGATCTAGCACGCCGATGGCCACACTGGAGGGCTCCCTACTCAACTGATGTCGTGTAAATACACACAAAATATGCCATTTGGTTCACTGTAATACAAATTACATCTTTAGACTCTCTTCCAGAGATGACTGTAAAATTACCTTTGGGCAGTCAGCCTTTTCCTGTCAGCAGCACATATCTGGAACATTTTACCCATGCAACTATACATCTCTCAACTGCTTCTGTTATTGTTCTACTAATTGGCTGTGCTTATGTGCTTTTGTATGTTTTCCTGTGATGTCCTTTATGTGTCATATGGTTATGACACATAGGAGACATTAATATGGTAATTGTGTCACTATTTGTTTGTCCTTCTGTGCTTTTATCTGTGCTTATGTGAATCTTTTATGTTTCTGATATGCCATAAACCTGCCAGGGACTGCAGATGAAAATTAGCTTGTATGGCTCATGTTGTTGCTCATATCTGGCACATTTACATAGTGGATTTAAGTCCTTGTGTTAATTAATGTGTACCGTTTAAATATATACACTTCAAATTTTAACCACCACCCCGGTTTTCAGTGGCCCTATCTGGACTCCCTTATGAGACATTTCTGGGGTCACCACTGCCCAGTATTCCTAGTAATTATCTTGAAGAAGAAGAATTGGAAGATTCGTGATTTACATCCAGGGCCAATGTTCAGTGCCAGAGCAGGAGGTATTTCCAAGGTTAAATAAAAAGTGAAGGTCAGGGGATCGCCAAAGTCAATTGGATTCATCATCTGGGACCCATGAATATCTGTACCAAATCTGCAGCAGTTGTTGAGTTATTTCAGTCTGGACCAAAGTGGTGGACACAGACACTGTGGCTAAAGATAACAAAAACTTAACATGGGGTTTTTGCAGCATTGTCTAATATCAGTTTCCTGTCTGGGAATAGGTGAAGCTCATTACTGGAAGGTGAAAAGAAGTGGCTGGTGAAATTGTGTGTAATGGATATAGCCTTTTCTGTCTGCACCTTTCCACAGGCCAACAGTAGAGTTTGCAGGGACAAAGACTGCAAGCACATAGGGAATTGGGTAAAAACTGGGTGGAAAAATGAATTTTAAAAATGGGAACATGGTGCAGCTGGTGTACATAATGAAGTCTCATCTCACTCCCTCTTTGACTCAGTTTTCACATCAATCCCCCCCAAAGCCATCTCCCCTTCTCTCTCTTATTCAAATAGGAGAACCACTGGGGCTCTAAAGAAGACATAGACAGCTCCCCGACTTGGAGTCTCAACACCCACTTGGGTCCCTCACACCATTTTGCCCAAACTCCTCTGTCCATCCATTCATCCATCCGTTCACAAACCATCCCTCATCCCTCGACCCTTTTCCCATACCTTCATCACTCCTACAGTTTATCATATTGGTTCACATTTATCCATTATGTGCAATAAATATTCCATTCCATTCCATGCGTTCAATGGCATGGTCTTTGTTAGTGAATTCTCTGTGTCTAATTAAAAGGCTTCCTTATGTTTTTGGCGGATTTTCAGAATGTGAAAAAGTGTTTTTTCCCTCAGACTCGGTGCATAGCCAAAGGGAATTCAGACTAAATTCCAGCAAAATCAGACAGTTTAGCTGCCTTTTTTTTTCTTCCACCTTTTGTATTAGTCATGTGTGACGTCCTTGTTTTTATTTATTTATGTGATGTTATTCTATTTTATCTTTTCCCATTTCATTTTTTATTCTATTTCTTATTTATGCAGTTTCTGTGCATGTAGCTTGGATGAGGCTACATCGGCATTTCATTATGCAATCTCGTATTGTATAATGCAATAAAAGCTGAACCTTTAACCTTAAGATGACATATTCTGCATACCATGACCTTCGAATTATTAGGTTCTATGTGTGATCTGAGTGGTTTTCAGATAATGACATTTTCACATGCCAGATAGCAGAACTGATGTACAGGTCTCTTTTACGTAGGCCTATTGGTCAACATAACAGGCATCCTCAGTGTACTCTCAAATATATACGATATCTAAATTTTCTTACATTTTTATGTTTTAGATCAGGTGGATTTAAGAATTTATTTTATAATAAGGAATAATAGTTTCCTATCTTCAAAGGCTTTACAGAAAGCAACAATTGTTGAAAAATGTTGGCAGTTTAGTCCAACTTTACACAAAAACAGTAGTTATGACTGAAGTCAACAATTTAGCACCATGCTTTAAATTAGACACAAAAACCATTTTCTCACATCACAACTTTGAACTGTAACTGTAGTACAGCACTAACACTGTAATTCAAAACTGTGAAAAATAAAACTTTCAAAAAATGTTTCTCTACTAATTTGCTGATGTTTTCTCTCATGGTTTTACATATTTTTTGCAGCCACTGTACCATTGTCTTAAATTAACCTCTACCTTTTTTTCCTAGACAAGCTGTAGGTAATCAACAACAGTGTCTATCATCATTATGTGTCAGAGAAATGTTCAGCACATAGCTAACTAGAAACTTGAATTTATTTCAACTTCCATATTAAAATTTTATTTTCCATAGCTTTAATCCCTGAACAAGTCACAGTAACTTTTAGTTACTAATAATAACATTAATTTTGCTGACAAATAATAGCATGAGCATTTTCTAACTCAAACATCATGTCTCGAATTAAAAATGTTGGTAAACACAGCAAAAATAGAAGGGGAACAGGCAATATGTAGACATAGGAAATGTTTGTGAGGGTCTTTTAAGAGGTCTATAGGCTTTTCTACATATCTATTTGAAAAGAAGCTCGCAACTACAACCTTTCTGGGACGCACTTGTCATTGAAGTTGAGTGATTTTTGGATGAAGTCAGCATAGCCAGTGCGTTCAGCCTATCCTGTCCCATAGTCAGTTTCTCTTTGCAGATAATGAAGAAGTTTTGACTTGCAG